GTCCTAGTGCAGGGGGGTGGGGCGTTGGGGCACAGGATCCTAGTGCAGCGGGGTAGGGTGTCAGGGCACAGGGTCCTAGTGCAGTGGGGTGGGGTGTCAGGGCCTGGGCCCGGTACATTGGCCCCAGAGCAGAATGAGGCATGGGACACCAGCACAGCTGGTGAGTATATGGAAGCAGGAGGGAGAGATGAAGCTTGGAGAATGACAGTGACAATGGCTCTTTTGAGGTCCAATTGAGCCGCTAGCCGGGTGAACACTGGTAGGGGGTGTGTTATAGGGAGAAGTGGCGGAGAGCCAGCGAGGAGAGAAGGGGGTGGGGTGAGCATCAATAGCTCACTGTTACTGAGGTACAGGGCGCTAAGCTCTGGGCTGAGTCCTTGAAAGAGCCTCGGTGGCACAGTCGCTAACCTGAAGGTCAACCGGTGCTCCTCGGTGGAGGGGAAAACACGGCATTCTGCTTATGTATGCATGCACTCATCGTGTAGAGTCAGAACTAACTCAGAGCTGGCCCGCCAGTGTGTTTCCAAGGTGGTAAATCACAAAGGAGAGTGCCCTTACTTCTTCTTGGGAGCAGCTGTTGATTCGAACTGCCAGAGAAGTGCTCCTTGGGTAAAGCGTATAGCTTTGAAAACCCTAAGGGTTGCTTATGCGTTAGAATTGGATTTAACTTGATAGCATTAATTTTCTTTTCTTTTATTATTTTATGTGTGTGTTCTGTCAAATCAGATCTGCCTGGTACAGGAGGAGATTGTTCCTCCTTCTCCAGCAGAGAATCTGGTGGATTCGAACCATGCACCTCTGAGATTGCAGTACACCTTCTTGCCACTAGGCCCCCAGAGTTCCCTAGGCATTAATTTCTTTTAAAGTGTGTTAAGTTTATTGTTTCTATTAATCCTTATAATAAATAGCCCTGTAAAACAAGTACGATCATTTTCATTTTACAGATGAAGTAACTGAAGTACTAAAAAGTTAATAACTCAGTTAAGGTCACAAATGGCAGAATTTTCATTTAGAGGCCAGAAGATCTCCTCCCATGCCATTAACTGCCTCTGAAAACTCGCTGGAGGGTAAGCTGTCAGTTCTGACATGCACAGCAACTAGGGCTGAGGAGATGGTCCTTGGCAAGGCAGTATCAGCAACTTTCTGTTTCATTCAGCAATATTTATTGTTGGCCCACTCCATGCAGAGAGCTGAGGAAAATGCCCAAAGTGAGTTAGCTGGAATATGGGAGTAAAGAGAGAAGACGGAACTAACCCATTAGAAATCTGCAAGGGCTGGGCCCTTAGGGAGAGGTCGTAAACCAACTCTCCTGTGGGATTTGTT